TATAGCGTGATTGTTGAATCTGATCAATATTGTATCGACTCATTTAGTATTTTTAATGCGCTTGTCATCGTTCTGCACAGCTTTGACAACAGAACTACTGTGTATAATTCAATTCAAAGTAATGTGATTTGAGTGAAGCTATACGCGTTTTGAAGCAAATAAGTCATATTGTGGTGTGATGTTCTTTATTGGTGGTATTGTATTTTTGATTGGTGGGTTATATATACAGAATGTCCCAGAACAACCTTCGAAGTTCTCGAGGCATAGTACGTATTGATATGAACATAAAAATCCCATATAGTTTTGTGATATTCGCAATAATTACCGAGATTAATTAAAGAAGGTATGTTGAATGATTGCGCGATATATAATAGATGAGTTGTAGTGGCGACGTCTGTCATCGTGTATTTGTTATAGATGAAGTTGAACAAAAGAGTTTTCTACTATTTTCCTAATAACTTTGTAGATTTTTAATTATTAATTAATCCTTTAGTGGTCACAGTGCATACACATACATATATGTACGTATCATCTGTTTTGAAAAATCATAACTTTCACAAAAGTGAACTTATCGACACCGTTCTTATTTTATTTTGAAAAGGAAGAGCGGAGCTATATAAAAAAAATTTTACGAGTAGGAGAGTTGCACACTTTCAGCTATACAGTATGTTAAATTGTGCGAAAATTGTTAAAAAATGAGGATAATTCCCATAAGAAGGTTTTCTTTCAGGTTCCAATGTTTTAATTTAATGTATATGTTTTGAAATGGCATCAGAATGGGAGCAAAAATAGTTCTTTAAAAAACTATCTAATATCGGTAATAATATGTTAAAAACCACCCTTACAGTGGTAATACTCCTAAAAATAGATTTTAGAAACGCATACAATAAATTCAGTTTACTTTTATTTTTAATTTCAACAGTTTCGGAAAACTGTAGAATTTGAAACTAAAAGTTTGTGTAATCAGGATGCTTTTTTATTGTGAATACCCTTGTCTCTCACAAATAAATATCTAGTACACATCGTAAACAATGTCGAAAATATTATAAACCTGAAGGCGAAGCAGTTCCAGTTATCAAATGACGGCAAAATGATTACCATGTACTAATGGATTTTATTCTTATTTCAGAATGATTGAAAACAACATACATGTAGTATCGACTTCCAATGTTTTTCAAACGCGGAAATATTTTTTACAATATAGGGGTAGTTTGTACGGGTAGTCCGTGAGTTTATGAAAACATACACGGAAAAAACAATATGGTTGATCCATATAGAAATCTGGTTGTGCCAACCAGATTCAATAGTAAAATACGGAATAACTATTTATGTGGTTGCTGTAACCAAAGAGCAATGGCTGAGTTACTTATGTTGCAGCAGTGATAATACATGGTTAATACAAACGCGGCTCATTACGCGGCAACTACAAATGTATATTTATACACTCAGAACCAGTTTTCACATGTATACATCTCTAGCTATGCGCGTAGTGAATTGCTTTTGTTTTCTAACATCGCTGCTTTGTAATATAGCATTGATTAATGTAACTATATCGATATTAACTTGTCTATGCAAAATGATCCCCTTACTAATTTCTGGTTGCCACAACCAAATCACGTGCAACTTCATTGATATAGTTGACACACCAAAGTAAGTAAGTCA